CCCCCCCCCCCTCTATGTTTCAATATTATAATACATTGACAACTAGAAAACTCTGAAATAGAAAGACGACTTTTAGACTCGAGCTATAACTTTGAAGTCAAATGATCACGAAGTGTTTAGTAAACAATTTGCGTTGTAACATTATCAAATTCTCTTTAGTATTGCTATAATGTCTTCTTCATATTCCTATGTTTTCTGGTTATCACTACAGGGTGTCCCACGACTGTAGCAAGACACGAAATGAAGGTCGTCTTTGATTGTTGAAATAATTTGAGGTACTTGGCATTTTGAACATGTGGACTGTCTTTGTTGTGCTTTCCATAATACAGGAATTTTGTTCAGATTTCGACAATTTTGGTTTTATTTTATAAAAGTGATATCCAAACGAAATTGTTCAAACCTCTAGTATTACTTTATAAGGAATTTATAGGATCCATCAGGGTTCAGGTAGATTTAAAATTCGCTGATGGTGATGGACTAAACATCTGTAGAGTAAAAAAAGTAGATGTTAGTTCCTCATTTATGAAAATATATTTCGGTCTGGGTTGACCCTCGTCAGTTCTAACGATTTCTCTGTTAACATTGAAAGCAAAGAAAGGACAGACCACATTTTGGAAATGCTAGGACAAGGAGAACTTTGTGGTTTTTGATTCAAGAATCATACATGTAAATGTAGGCTGATGACTGAATGTCTGAAATAAATTCAAAGTTCTAAGACGACTTTCAAGTAGTCTTGCGACTGTCAAGTTTAGTGGGACACCCTGTATCTAAATCAAAAGTTCCGACTTTACACTTTGTTATTTATCATTTGCCTCAACATCTGTGTTATATCTTCTGAAATGTGTACAGAAGACGTTTTTGTGCTTTTTTAAAATATTTAAATTCTTCCGTTTAAAAATTTTCTCTTGTTGCTGAATATAAAAATATGAAACGGTTAAATAAATAAAGGTTTACTCGAAATTACCTAATTAAGATGATAATATACTTTCTAATTAAAGGGACTATATATATATATATATGTAAATGTTAGTGACCCTCTATAAAAAGAGGGTATATGCCTGATTCACAATGATTCCCTTTTATTCTTCGTTTCTGTAAAATTCTGAAGATTTTCCCGTTTTTCTTTTTGTAAATTGATAATTTTCAACTGTGGTTCTTCTGTGAGTTTCTGATTTTAACGGGAGGGAGATCAGAATTTAAGAAAACGTCAAAATCTTCTCATTTGTTCATATCAGAAAATATTTTAAAGGCGTATTGTTGTCAATCAGGCATGTAACTCTTTAATTGGGAGATTGGGTTGTAAATACGATGATGACAGTTGACCCAGAACTTCGGAGAAATTGAAAGAATTTATAATATGTCGTCTTCTAAACCTACTGATAAGGGAATGCGGCAGATATTTAGTTTTTTAATTGAATATGTAAAGCTGAATCCGCATATTTCATATCTTTTTATTTTTATTACTGAGATTTAAGTATAAAAGTTTTAAAGACGCCATTTAATGAATTCTTTCGATGTCTCCAAAGTTCAGGGTTAAACTGTACACTATTGTTGAGGTCTGGATTGGAGGTTTGGGGCTGAATGGTTTGAGAGTCAGCTCCTGGATCATGATGTCTGCTCTAACTATGGTAGGAAATATTACCAAGAAGGACTTAAAGGGACCGTTCACTTATTTGGGTAATTTCAGGATAAACTAAACAGCCTATTCGCTTTTGATTGGTAACAGACTTACTTCAAAGACAACTGAAATTACCAAAATAAGTGAACGGTCCCTTTAAAAAAAGAAAATTAAATCTCGTGGAAATTTTGCAATTAATATGTATGAAAATTTATTAACCCAGGCCTTTCATGAATCAGAATCTTTCTCATAGAATCTTTAAAATCTTTAGAACATTTTTTGTTCCTGTAGTTTTTTTTTGGAATAGTCCATTTTTGTCGTGGTATTTTTTATCAGCGTCTTACTTATAGAATCTTGAGAGAAATTGTTGTTGCTTTAAATTTTATTCATTCGGTTCATTTTTGTCATTTTTATCTTATCAGTGAAAAACTTTGCTCACTGGGACCGAAATTAATGAATTTAAGCCATGACGCTAACTAACTACTGCCGGTATAAAATCTTGAATCACTGATTCAAAGTTTAAGATTCAAGGGGATTTGAATAAATGATTCGGGTTCAGCGATATCTCCAATTCAATAAATTCGGTTTCTGGATCTTAAAGCTTCAAAAGGTTATAGTTTTTAGTTATTGTTATTATCATTATTAATTTAATCTATCAAGTTATCAACTTCAATAGCGTTTAGCCACTCTTAGGAGGCAAACGCTATTACGCATAATATAAATAATAATAAAAACAGTGTATACTCATCCTCATTTATTTTTATCACTAAATTATCTTTCAATCTTTAGTCAGTGTTTTATGTCCTGTAGTTCATGATAGGTTGACCTTATAGTTCATGATATGTTGACCTTATAGTACATGATAGGTTGACCCTATAGTTCATGATAGGTTGACCCTATAGCACATGATAGGTTGACCCTATAGTTCATGATATGTTGACCTTATAGTTCATGATAGGTTGGCCCTATAGTACATGATAGGTTGACCCTATAGTACATGAAAGGTTGACCCTACAGTTCTTGATAGGTTTACCCTATAGTACATGATAGGTTGACCCTATAGTTCATGATAGGTTGACCCTATAGTACATGATAGGGTCAACCTATAGCACACGATAGGTTGACCCTATTGTACATGATAGGTTGACCCTATAGTTCATGAAAGGTTGACCCTATAGTACATGATAGGTTGACCCTATAGTTCATGATATGTTGACCCTATAGTACATGATAGGTTTACCCTATAGTACATGATAGGTTGACCCTACAGTGCATGATAGGTTGACCCTATAGTACTTGATAGGTTGGCCCTATAGTACATGATAGGTTGACCCTATAGTACATGATAGGTTGACCCCATAGTACATGATAGGTTGATACTATAGTACATGATAGGTTGACCCCATAGTACATGACAGGTTGACCCTATAGTACTAGTACGTGACAGGTTGAGCCTGTAATGTCTAGGGAATGTCTTCGTATATATCAATACAATGAAGACGACTTGCAATTTCAGATTTTTATTTATACTAAGCTTTTAAATAGCATGAATGCACACAAACATGGAAACAGAGAGAATCTGTCAATTAACAGATTTTCACTTTTAATTTGTAAAAAGCTTGTAATAGCAAGTAAGTAAGTAATTATTTATTTATTAAATAAAACAAAAACATACAAAATCAAGTGTCTCAGGAGAAAATATTTGAAAACCTCAAAAAAAAAGGTTGTGGGAATATTTCCCCCAATTCTAAAAAATTAAAAATGTAAGGATAATGAAAGGAGAGGAAAAGGAAAGTTACATTTTTATTGTTCACATTATATTTAGTATAACTGAGCCCGCGATATAAAAAAAATACCACTCGGGTCTAAGCTGTCGTTGAGCTTTTGGATTCAAGCTGCATCTTATTTTCTACAGAGTTGAGTTCAAAAACGGGGTTAATATTGTATTTTTTGGCGGATTGGGTTTAATATTGTATTTGGAGGATTTTCATGGTAGGAATAGGGGTAATTTCCTAGAGAACGATTTTTGAACCGAAGATCTTGCAGCAGTCAATGACGTAACACAACCTGTCGTCAGTGTTGGGTCGAAGATTGGTTCTGAAAGTCGGGTTTCAGTAGTTACGGCTCGAGTCGAAGTTTTAAATCGCGGTTTCTGGTAAATCAAAACTTCAATAGAAAAGTCGTGTTCTTTGTATTGATATAAACGCCGATCATTCACTGTGTGTTTAGGGAATTGGAACTATGCTGCCGGAATAGGAAATGATCCGCGAGAGAACCGGAAGTTCAATATGATCAAACAGGAACTAAACCACGTGTCATTTTTTTAGTGAAAGATTTTTCTTCTTGAAACTCGACTCTTGAATTTCAGTAAATTGGGAAGTAGCATTTATTATTGATTGATTGATTATCGTTTATTTCTTTATGCCTTATAAAATTCGGTGATAGTGATGGACCAAACCTCTGTAGAGTAAAAAAGTAGAAGTTAGTTCCACATTTATTGAAAATATATTTCGGTCTGGGTTGACCCTCGTTAGTTCTATCGATATAATAACCATCAAAATCGACAAAAAAATTAAAAAATGTAAAAAATCACAAGAAGATAAACAAACAAAAAGATTATTCAAAATAAAAATTTGGGATGTCAAATGGACATAAGGGAAACGAACTCAGATTATGAGATGAAAAAAAGATAATTTGCAAAAATTCACTTTAAAAAAATGTTTTAAGACAATTATTATTCCTTGAGATTGTTTCTTCTTTATGCCTTATTTTTAGCACCTTAAATCTTCTTTTATTATTTGCCAGTAATGCATAAAGGGAACCCAGAATAAATTAATATTTTTAAAAATAAATCAATTGATAAAAATTGCAGTACTTGAAACTGTTTTACATGTGAGTCAAAAAAAGGGATTAGCGTGTTTTTTAACAATAAATTGTTTTTGTAGGGTTCATGTTTTAGGTTAAAAACTACAGAAAACTCTGAAATACTTAACAATTGATTTAATAACTTGCTAATAAAGATATTTGCTTTGTAACAATGTTACAATATCTAAAACATCCGCTCAAAGTTACAAGAAATAAAATTTTAAAATGCATTTAATGTTTACAAATTTTTCCTTTCTAAAAATTCCATTTTGCATCTTTGTAAGATTTGGTCAGATTTGGAGCAGATCTGTGCAGAGTTTTACAGTTTTACAGCAGTTTTACAGAGTTCACCACAAAGAATTAACCTTTTAGACTCAGTTTCAAGTCGTCTTTACAGTTTCATCCTTTTGTGGGTAACCCTGTATAGTGCAAGGATGTAATGTAAGGAAAGTTATTTCAGAAGTATATGCATCTTTTGTACTTCAGTGTGCTACCTCTGGGCGGTAATGTAACACAAGACGGATGTCGAAGCCTCTGCCTGACATGAGATCCATCTTTCACATAAAAAAATCAATGAAATATTCTGGTCATAGGAAACTATTATGTGAATTATCAAAATTATCGAAATTTAATGCGTTTAACCTCCCCTCGAATAATAAACGAACACTGATGCATCTATTCTTGTTTACAAATTCCTCCCAGAGAGAACAGGTTTCAATATGTACGCACTACGCAGAGTATATGCGACAGCAATTTACTTTCCTTGCATTACAACCTTGGTATAGTGTATATTACTCACAACAGTTACAAATTTTAAAATGTTGACTGATATGTTTCTAATTTAAAAATTGAGTGAAGACAATTGTCATTCTGATTATCACTGTAATTGCACGCTTTTTTTACTATTAATGACAGAGTTTACGCACACTGTAGGGTATGGATTATGACGCTGATGGGGAGTTTGTACGCACCTGGGTTCCAGAGTTACGTAAAATACCAGGAGGTAGTTCCAATTTATGCGTAAAAATATTTTTTGAGTCGTAAGACTTTAAACTGCAGATAAATATTTCTAGATGTCAAGAACTTCAGTGTCCGAATTTAACGAATTTGAGCCGCGTCTTTAATCCGCCAAAAACCGTTTTCAATTAAGCGCCGACTTAAATCTTGAAGCAATGAATACGATTTTAAGTGAAACCAATATATTTTAGCCGCGGCCTTAATTTAAGCCTCGGCGCAAATTCTTTAAATTCGGCCTCAGGGCACGTTTTTATTAAGTTTTTTGTTAGCAATTATAAAAGACTATTTATGTTTAAAACACTGAAACTTTTAAGGATAATAGGGAAAAAAATTAAAATCTTTTTGACAAAATATGTACATGTATGTATACAGTATACACCCTAAAAAATTTGAAATATAGTATCTATTACCAATGGTGACATATTTAGAAGAAAGAAAAAACTATTTTAACAATTTTCAAAATTTTAGCCTTGTCAATTTTTCGAAAAACGTCCTTTTTAAATTCAAACTTCTCAAATCATTGTTTTTCTTCATGTTAATCTATTTATCGTTAAATATAAAATGTGGATTGTTATAACATATTTTTTTATTTTTTCCTTAGGAAAGATCCATGTTCCCTGGACCCTGAATGATAAAGAACTGACTTCCGCTGGTGTCGATCTAGGTAAGAACCCCCCCCCCCCCGTCTATAAATAAATTAATTAATTAATGTTTAATGCTTGTATCAACTGTGGTATTTGCACAGGGGTTATTTGCACTTTATTTTGAACCGTTCAAGGTTTTTGACTCCACTATAATCTGAGAGTTTTTCTATTTCACTTTTGTATGCTCAATAGTTTTGCTTTTATTATAATATGCAAAAATGTCCTCGATCAGACGGTTTATATCTGTGAATTTCACCACTGCTTCTTGAAAGCGAAGAAATGCGCAAGTCACTTTTGCAGAGAAACCACAAATAAAAGTAAACCGTTTAAACTGACAAAAACATGGATATCTTATTTATACTTGATTAGACAAAGCTTTTAAGGGTACCGTTGTAAATCGAGCATTGCTATTTTTGTACAGAGGGTCACTTGAAATTACGCTTACAGTCCCTTTAATGGAAGAAAATGAATGATATCCCTGGGCTTGAATTTCCCTAAACCCCTTGTCCAAGCTCCTGCATGTATAAAAGCGGCTGAAGGGACAGCTCACCGAAGCAAATTTGCGACTTAACAAACAAGTCCCATGGTCTACATGATATAGGTGTCCCACACGCCTGTGGGGACTCAAGTTTAGTCTTAGGGGACAATTTTTTAGTCCTAAATGAATGAATGAATGAAATATTGAATATATAAATATATCCCTAGGTGTGAATTATCCTAAACCTCTGGTCCTAGCTCCGGAGTGGGGAAGACACTCGCAGAAAACAAACAAACCTCCCTCCTATAGGTTAACCTAACTTGATTTTTTTCTTAAATAGTTTCATATCAAATTTGAGGAACCCAAAAATAACCCCAAAATTATAATCTTCTTATCCCTATATTTTTGAAACCTGATGTACGCGTTTTATAAATCAAATTCATTCTGCAAGATCAAATGTTCTAGTATATCAAAGTGTTACACTATCCTGTTTCAAAGAAATATGGATAAAAAATTATAATTTGGGTGGAATTTTTAAATATGGTTTGTTTTAATATCATTAGATTTAATAATTTGTTTAATAATAAAGTGTTTCCTCTTTTTTGATACTTTTTTCACAAAATTTCATTTTTTCTCTTAATATCCCCTTTATCGGGGTTAAAGGAAGTACAGCAAACTTTACTTAAGATTCTGATATTATATAAAAAAATTTAGTTTACAAAACAAAATTGTATTATTATTTTGATTTTCAGAGATCCGCCAAAAGGACAGAGACCCATCAATGCCTTTTTCAAACCAGAGTATGGCGGAGGCGGAGTACAGGGTTCAGGAGGACGTGAAGGGGGCGGAGTACAGGGTTCAGGAGGACGTGGAGGGGGCGGAGGAAAATGGGGACCAGGACGTGGAAAAGCCCCTAGAGGCGGAAGAGTACAGTTCTGATTTTTTGCTCAAGCACAGTGAGAACCAAAATTCTATGGAAATGGAAGATGACTTTTTATGACTTTGAATAGTCTTCTGAACATAAGAAATAGCAATTGTGCCGTATAAACACACCCATTTAACATCATCAAGGGATGTTTTAAGTAACTAGTCGTCGTCTTCCCATTTCTCAGTTTTCTGTTACTTTATGTTGTTTTTCATTTTTTTATTGTGTTTGGATTTTTTAAATAAAACTTTAATTAGAAATTACTATGTTCATTGTTCAAGCACTAAATTAGTCGGGTTTTTTTCAAATTCGATAATACATTATTGTCAGGTACATTAATCACTAATCAGAAGTATAAGTGTTTTCAGATTTCTTATTAATGGGTTTTGTTATCGGATTGAAATAGACTTCCAAGATGTTAAAATTCATCTACATATTGTAATGGGACACCATTTAGAATAATCGGACATACATCAATACTATCAATGTTAAATTTTATGTAAAATAACACATTAGGTCTTGGATTTGTTTATGTTCGCGTTTGTACTAAACTTTAGTTTACAATTTAGTGCAAATTTCTCACATATATTTCCTATACACCATTTCTACTTGATGACAGCCTAACGATGTCATCAGCTTAAACCCATTTCCTTGTATTTGACAACCAATCGTAGATAATCTCAACTGTTTTATCAAATCATTTATATAGATGCAGAATAATATCGGAGAACTAACCGCTCCCTGACCCTGTCTTACTCTATTTGTTACTTTAAAACCATGGGATAGAGAATCAGTCCATTTCGCATTGCAGGTTTGGTTCTTATATATATATATATATATATATGTATCAGACATAAAAATCCGCCAAATAGAATATTAAACCGGTTATTTGAACTCAACTCTGTGGAAAATATGTAACACACTGATAAACTGGTAAAGCGGGAATTAAGTATATTAACGAGGATATATTTAACCCTGAAATTTTCAACAAATTTCGCAACATTAATAAATTGCACAAATTATTATTAAAGGGAGTGACCGGCTATGTAAGGTAGTTGAACTGAGAATGCAGTGTTGTGGAAAACTTCTTTCGGATTCATTTGAGACATATAACACTTTTTAAAGATCTTTAAATCCTGAGTTTAAGCGCAAATTCGACGTTCAAAACTCCTACTTTGGGGGTGGATACGTTTTCAGAATCGTTTTTTTTTAATTACTAAAAACGACGACGAAAAGTAAAGTAAAAATCATACAGTAATCTATGGAGATGGTTGGGAACATATTTCTCAAAAGAAATTTGTCAATAAATCAATGCTAAAATCAATTATTTCGTTTTCAACATTTATTTGAATTTTTTATTCTCTTTGAATTTATTCGCAGATTTCTTAAAATTCTTCAAATGTCGTCTTTTCAATAATAAATCAAGAAACCTGCAGAAAATGTTTTTGAATAATGAGAAAATAGAAACTAATAATTGATCAAGATTACTTATTTTCAATGATAAGATAAACTTTTATTTTCTCAACCGGTTCCGAAACAACTAATTAGTTTACTGTAGAGTTCTGTTTACATTTGTTGTCGTCGTTATTTAAAAATTTTAAAAAAAACTAATTCTGAAATCGTATCCATTCCCAAAGTAGAAGTTATGAACGTCGAATTTGCGCTCAAACTCAGGACTTACAGATCTTTAAAAAGTTTTATATGTCTCTTATTAATCCGAAACAAGTTTTCCACAACACTGCATACTCAGTTCAACTACCTTACATAGCCGGTCACTCCCTTTAAGTGGTATGTAAGCTTAATTTCAGGTATTGTTTAAATTCTGATAAGCTCTGTATGCAGTCACTTGAAACCACAACTAAAAATATTATGTTTTCAAAGTTATAAACATTGATATCTATTTATTACTTGATTAGACAAAGGTTTTAATGATACCAATCCTACATTGCCATTCTTGGCATGAGGGTAACTTGAAATTACGCTTACAGTCCCTTTAATAACGTATATATGAGGAATTATCCTAAACCTGCATTTTTTTATTATAGTTGCGCAGAAACCTAATTCGTCCTATGGCCCTTAATTCAACCAGCCAGGATATTAAAAAAGTTTTGTTCAAAAACTCCTTATTTTACAACCCCTTCTTTTATTTCCAGGATTACATTTTTCTGAATAAATGAGTTGAATATTCTTGAAATTTGAATATAATTCTTTATACCAATTGCAGAGCATGTACATTAAACTATCAATCATCTTGCAATTTATATAGAATATTCAGATCTATACACGAATTCGTTAGCCAAGATGGTTCATATATAGAGAAATAAATATACAGATTTTAACTGAAAATCTTTTAGCTGAGGTTTTAACTTTTGGAGTCCAACATTATAGAAACCGCTAGGTATAGCAACGAGGCGTTTTTGCGGGAGAATATTTTTAATATTTTCGAGAAATTAAATAATTAATGTAAAGTAGATATGATTTTCATAAAATCCTTTTATTTAAATGGTAACACGGAATTTTATGAAATCATAGGAGCGTTACCGGAGGACTTTTTTATATTTTTTGCTAAATTATTTTTTGGTAAAAATAAACTGTAGTTATCATTTTCTAAGAAAAATTTTTTTAAATAGTAACACGCAATTGTAAGTAATCATGTAATCATTCATTTATGATGTCAGTACATAATAAAATCTGGGGGAACCTTAAACACTAAACAGAGCAGTACAAATGTACATATTAATCTAATTAGCTGTATAGTCAAGGGTATAAAAATAATGATATTGATAATAATAAGCTGCAATGTACAAAAATGTTTAATTTCTCTAAAATATTAAAATTATTCTCCCGCAAAATACGCCTTGTTGCTATACCTAGCGGTTTCATTAATGTTCTCAATGACCAAAGGAGGTATGTTTGAAATATTTATAAAATTCCAATCTTCTTTGATCTGTGAACTAGTTAATCTATGATTGCATGGTTTCCAGGATTATGAAAACCAGGATGCACCCCGTCTCAAGCTAAACCGGGGTAGTGCATGCCAGAATATCAAAATTAAGATATTCTGGATCAGAGAAACGGGTACATATGTGAATTGGAAAAGCAACTCTTTAAATGAAGGGTCATTTGAAATTATGTCTACAAACCCTTAAACCTTAAATTGCTTCCGGAAGAATATCTACAAGGAAACTACAAGGATGGAAGAATATCTACCCCTGAAACTACAAGGATGAGAGAATATATAACCCTGAAACTACAAGGATTGAAGCATATCTACCCCTGAAACTACAAGGATATAAGAATATCTACCCCTAAAACTACAAGGATATAAGAATATCTACCCCTGAAACTGGCAAAGATATAAGAATATCTACCCCTGAAACTACAAGAATATAAGAATATCTACCCCTGAAACTGGCAAAGATATAAGAATATCTACCCCCTGAAACTACAAGGATATAAGAATATCTACCCCTGAAACTGGCAAAGATGGGTTGAATCAAAATATNGCAATTTAAAATAATTTTCAGAATTTTTTAAGGGGGGGGATTTTAAATGATTTATTTAATTTCATTTCATTTTGGTTTTCTTATTTTTGCATTTATTGATCTAAAAATTTGTCACTCTAAAATAGAGATCGAAAAATTCGAGATAAAAAAGACAATTTTTGAATCCGGGAAGAAATCATCATCATTTAAGTGCTATTGGAGACCCTCATGGACATCTCGTTGGAAACCCCCAGATTCTGGTTGGAGATCTCCATATTTTCATTGGAGAACCCATATTTTCGTTGGAGACCCCCAGATTATCGTTGGAGACCCCCAGATTTTCGTTGAGAGACCCCCAGATTATCATTAGAGACCCCATATTTTCAATAAAGACCCCCAGATTTTCGTTGGAAACCCCACATTTAAATCCTGGGCACTCCAGCTAGTAATACATATATAATATCCTGAATTTTGAAATTTTAGTGTGTTTAATATATAATAAGGGATGAACTTTAGAGCGTTGATATAAAAAGATATTCTTCCTAAAATTAATTTTATCTTTTAATTCTTCCCGCTTTAAGGTTTCCCACCTATTTTTTTCTTTTTCATCTGCATATGTATTAAACAAACGGATTTGGTTTGTTCTCCACAAAACACAAAAATAAATGTTTTTCGTGAAAAGGACTGAAAGCGTAATGTCAAGTTACCATTTCTGCAAAGTTCTTTTCTTGTTTTTTAAGCGTGTTAACCCATTTTCTCCTTATATACGCAGTTCAGATATAGAAATGAAATTAGTAGCGATCAAATCCGAATTTCATTTATTTTCAAAAACTCCCTTACCCTGTGATGAAAAAAAATTATGGCCTTTTTTAAAATTTGTTTGAAACACCGACAGTCTATGGATATAAGAATATAACCCCTTACCCCCAAATAGAAATTTGGTGAAGAAAGTTAAGAAATATTTGCACTGATTCTTTTCGCCAAGTTTTGTTATATCTCTTTTATATCATTATTTAACGAGACATGGGGATAGAAAAAAGAAGTCTTTGTCACAAACTCAATTTCTTTCATTTTTTATATATTTGCAACCTGATGGTGTAAACCTTTGATATTTAAACTTATATTATTTGGTCTAAAAGAATTCACAGTTTAAAATATTTAATATCTACGACATGGTCTTGTAAAGATATAGGGATTAGAATAGTAGAGTTTAAAATATTTAATGTCTACGACATGGTCTTGTAAAGATACATGTATTAGAATAGTAGAGTTTGAAATATTTAATATCTACAACATGGTCTTGTAAAGATATAGGGATTAGAATAGTAGAGTTTGTGGCAAAGACTCAATTACGATACCAGTACAAATTCGTGGGATCCACAAACGTCGGACCAGGACAAACGTCGGACTGGCACAAACGTAGGACAGTACAAATGACGGATCAGTACAAACATCAGACCCGTTCAATCGTCGGACTATGGGAAAAAATTATTTGAATTTTAAGATTTTTTTTAAAGGATATTTCCTTTTATCCACTTGATAATAAAAATCTACTGAGTTACTGAGTTCTTGTCACTGACTCAAATATTCTCATCCCTATACCTTTGCAACCTGGTAACGGTATTAACTTTTAATACTTTCAAACTTAAACTGTGTGATCTTATAGATTTCATAGTTTGAACTATTAAAGGTTATATGACATCGGTTTGCAAAGATAAAGGCATATTGAAACATTAGAGTTTATGACAATTGAGCTCAAGTCCTTTTTGGTCTGTTGC